TAATGACGAACAAAAGATCGTCCGCTTTGGCTATCACTTCTACATCCCCGATTTGATTCTGTTATAATTATCCAACGACCCATAATCGATCCGTTCGCGTAACGCCGAATCATTAGCCTTAAAGTACAAGTCCGGGATAGGCAGCAAACTATAAACAGGGGCAGTAAACCGCAGGCGACATTATTGGTTTATATGAATCTCTATGAAATAATTTCTAGCGCGCCGACATAAATTTCGATTCTTATAAACCAATAGTATCGCGCCCTTCTCGGTCGTGTAGTTTTACTATTTAGCTAAATTCCAGTAACGCTTTTCTAGCCATGAAATACTTTAAACAAGTCTTTACTGATTTCTGCCAATATAAACTATTTCAAAATTGATGGCTATCGCAAGATACCAGTTTCTCCAGAAATATCTAACCATAAACGTAATAGACCAATGGCGTATTTCTCTTTTATCATACTCGTATTGTCTAACAACATGTCCAGAATATCATCAATCCACATTTCCTTCTTAAACTCATAGTGGTTAGTATTGCTGAATTCTTTGCGAATATATACATCCACTATCCTGCCCCTCAACAACTGTTCCACAAAGCGTGCGGAGCGCAGACAACAGCAATATTAGACGATAAGTTCGGCCTTCTTACTTCTGTCCTACAGAAAGCTTCTTGGTATATTCAGTATTAATTTATCCATTACTATTCTATCAAATATTTCCCTCATTCTTAGTTTGTCTATGAACAGCCTACATTCCCACACATGCGGATTTTTTCGATTACTCTCAACAATGTTTTGCCAATTGATTTCTTTTACCATCTCTTCGAAGTACATTATATGACTCCGAATTTTTTCTATTACAACTTCATTCATATCTTTTCTTGCCGCTCTTGGCTTTCCGTCCGCACTGTTAATGTTATTCTCTTCTGCTTCAACTTTCCATTTCAACATTTATCCTCGATCCATGTTTTTTGCAGTATCGGAAGAACGTGTCTAATTTTTCCCTGACGTAAGTTTTTCACATATAACTTCCTGATTATCCCACCGCTCAACCTTCTCTTTTCCAACTCCTCATGTTTCCTTTATGACATTCTTCCCACATTACACGACAATCTAGGAAAGACAACAACATTAGTCAATCATATAGGCGGAGAAAGAAAGCCCAAAGAAGATTGCAATCTCAGAACACTCGCTAGAAGTTACATGAGTTACCCTATGATTTCAAAGCCAGAATCTGATTTCAAGTTTTTACCGTATGGTCAAATACTAACACGTGGCTGGATGAGGCTTATACGAGTGCTGTAGTATCTGGAGCAATAAGCTAGATAAAAAACAGTGCAGTCGCAGACAAGTCCTTCAAAATCTTGCCATAAATAGCTTGGATAGATGAGAGAGATAAAAAGAGCACGTAGAGAACTTTAGCTCTAATTTAAAAGTGAACCTTCGAGATCAATCATTTATCATCGATGTCAATCAAATTATGGGTTACCATTATCACTTCAGTTCGTTCGTGCCGGTCGAGTCACTAATTGAAGAAGAGCTGTTCGCCAACTCTATCTCCTAAAGATCTCCATAAAGTATGCAGAACACCGCCATTTCAAAAAACATTTTGTTTCAAATGTAAGAGGTTTGGAGTAATTAAACAAGATTTCAAAATCGAAAAGGTTATGCAATAAATTTCATCAGTAAAGTTGTTAAATGGGCTTAATTTTGTTTGCAATATACTTACATTCTATATTTACGCCGATTTGTCGTGTTTCGAAGGTTGCGGCTTGTTTTACAATGCTACTAGTTAATTCAGAAATCTGAATTCCCTTCGATTCTATGTTTGATTTGAGGTTTTCTGTGATTTAGTGTGGTCTGCTTTTGTTCGCATTTCCGTTGTCATTGTTGATTCACCACGTTTCCCATGTTTATTTAGGCTTGATGAACCACTTTGTTCTCATTATCCATTTTGGCATAATTTTCATAATATTGAGAATTGTCGTAGAAATGAGTTTTTCTAATTGTTTGGCGATAAATTTTAGTGATCAAAAGATCCATAACCAAAGTAAGGGGCACTTTTCTTCACGCAAAATTTATAACATTTAAAGAAGTACCACATCCAGCACGATCCTTGAATTACACACTGAAGGCTTATTGGGATATTAACCAAGGTTAGATAACTAGATATAACCTGAAATCATTTTGATAGCTGCCATCATCGCGATTGATGGTGAAGGTGTGGATCTCATCGGCAAATATATCAACATCTGTGACAGAGAATATGTCATTCAGTACTACAACTGCGTGGCCGTAAAAATAAGCGGTATTATTGTTTCGCCATTATAATCCGAAAAGCATTTTCCGTATTAAATGTATCTACGATCGATATTAACGGAATAATAATTACAACTCTACATTTCTTAATGATTGCATCGTATGTTAACAACCTTGGTTGCTCTGTCTCCCCTGAATCATTGTAGTTACTAGAATCCCATTTGCTTCCATATAACTTTTCAACAGCCATAGAAAATATTCTCCACAGATTTGACAACTTTTAATTCAACTCGTATATAAAAAAGAAATCATATCAAATAAGAAAATATCAAAATGAATTACATGGAGCAAATTATATCCGATGTCATTTTGTCCCATCTTATACAGTCAAACAAAATTCAATATTTCAAAACGGTGTCAGTTGCATATTAGTTCATGGAAGTCGTAACAAAACGTCTGCACGAATAAGCTTAACAAGGTCGAAGACTACTGTTGAGTTGACGTCATAAAATTTTAAAATTGCCACTTATTCTCGTTTTATTATTCACCCACCTATTGGTAGGGAAGACCATAGCAAAGAGATGAGAAAGAACATGGTGCAATGAACCGGTTAACGTTACTTTACCATCAACTGAAATATTACCAATAAACGGGAATATAATGATTGATAACAACCCATTTAAAAAATCTAATTAGGTTTAATGATTATGATGGTCACAAAATTAAAATGAATATTTGTATCAAAATAAAATACGAGATACGAAATCTGTGATTGCATACTAGGAGGACGAACTTTGATATTAAATTTAATACTTCGCCCAAACACGAAAACGTGCTCCTCTGCATTTGCATCCTTCGAATAATCGCTATGGATTTATCGTCCTTAATAAACGGAATCGGAGCATCCGGTTTCTTTATTCGGGACCCGGTTTTAATTAAACACGTTTTGCGAGTCGTGCGTGCTAGGCTGGGAAGGCTGTCGTTGTAAAATTAGTCAAATTAAAGCGCTATCTAATAGCTAACTCGGTTTCCTCTCTTGCATGTTAAACAGGAAATTAAAACTATTGTACAAAAGCTTTTACAAACGATATTTTGCATTCATTTTTTATTCAGCATAAATAAATTCAGGTTTAAATTTTCTAGTTAAATCCTATCACTGCCTATATCTTTTTTGTAATATACTTGAAAAATCAATTCTAACAGGATCGGATCCGTTCTTATACTAGATGGGAATTCAGAAGCATTCAAATTCGAAGCTTAGACGAATTGAATACCGGTGCATAAAGACCGACAGTGAAGTTTTACTTGTCCTCAAATTAATTTATCTGCTTCGGAACGGATTTCGATTGAATTTCGAAAGTTTCTATTGTGAATAGGTAGAAGTTGATTTCTTTCCAACTTGACGGTATTGACGTTATCGATAGCTCGATTTCAATAGAATAGTGCTTTACACATACACCTGCTTCAAATACACTTAGTAAAATGTATAATATCGATCGTGAAGAACTAAATTTACTTTATATACAGCATACGGTGCTTCTTAATTTAAGACATTCAACGCCATAAGCGTACGCCACCCGATAAATCTCTGGGGCGGCCAGAACTAAAATGAATTATAGCGTCCCGGCATCTACACCATGACAGAATAATTAAATATTGCTGCACATTGGGGCCAAGCTGGATGCGGCCCCAGCTCCATTCTTAAAGTCATTATCCGAGCTATTGCTCCCGTTTTGACGCCAACTGGGGAAAAGGGTACTCTGGGAAAAGTTTCCCTTATTAAAATTGTGGGACGTCGGAATCGACAAACTCATTATACAAATTAATCTTAAAGCGGCCGTTCAAAACTTACCCGGTCGAGATGAATTGGAAATTAGTCCCGCGCCTCTTCTTTCAAAATGTTAACCGCCGCGGGTAGACTCTATAATATGAAAAAGGGTTCAATTTAATAATGGTACAGAATATCAAGATAATTTAAACCCCATTTTAACTAAGATTTAAGTAGATGTTTCAAAGTTTTCGTCTTATAATAATACGGTTTTAATTTAATTTAATATTTCACAAGAACGATAACACGCATTAAGTTAATCGTTACTTGAGTGACGTTACATATGCAAATTGGTGCAGATAGGCCAAGTAGAGTAATTCAGTCCAGCCCCGCCTTATCTCTAGAAATAATAAAACGCAATCCGCATCGCTCTACCATGAATAACCTAGTTTCTAAAGCCCATAACTTTATGTTCTGACAGGCGACATCGTAAGGTATTAATATCTTTAAGGATTGTTGAAACTTTACATACATTACAGTAAAACTTCATGAATAAATTTATACATTAAATAAATTAATTAGATCGAATTAAATGAAGATAAATGTATTGGAATCAACTTCAACATGTGCAAGTCACTAAATGTTTCTTGACATGCATCTTTTTAAAAGGGTAATTAAAAATTAATTGATGGTTAGTATTTTAACGCGAGTTCACTTTATATCAAAAAAAAACGAAATAATTTAAATTAATTAAAAAGATTAAGCCAATTTAACGTTAAGAAAACACTAGAAAATTCTAGTATTTGCTTCCGAATCAATGAAATCCGACGAGAAGTTGTAATTAATCACTTCACATTGCGGAAGCAGAACCTAATTTAAGCAAGGAACGAAAAATGAAGACGCCGCACCGTCTGAGAATAATACCCTTTTCTCGACTTCATTAATTAAAATAAGGGTTGAGTTTCTTTCTACAATTTTTTTTAATCTTTACTATGTTGAGATTAACAAAGATACATTTATTAAAATTAATTAACATAATCATAAATAGATGTATCCACGACTTTTTTGTAGATTTATTTTGGTGGAGGTGCCCGAATTACGACGCTAGTAGAAGATTGAACTCGAATTAAAAATATAACGTTTTGTTAACGTAAATAATATTTCTCTGTCTTTTAGTATTGAGATTAACTAGAAATATTTTAATTAGAATTAATTATTTTATGTTGGAGGACAATACCACAATTTTCTTTTCTTGTTTATATGCAAAATCGGCGTGTCTTCCTCTTCTAAAAGACAGGTGGTAGTATAAAATGAAATACGCACACCTAAATAATTTAATTACCATCATATCTCGGAATAGGTTCATTCCATACTTCTTTTGGAAATAATTTTTCGCTATCTTTAACAAGATCATCTAAAAATAAGCAAATATAATATTATTGTATTAAACATTTAGGTGTAATCATAAATTCATTACCTGTTTTAACTTCATGTTCTATGAACGTTGTAAAGATAAAAAAAAATTGAAAGTATAGTAAATGATAAAGAATGTAATAATACAAAAATACCATCATGTTGTACGTCATCAGGAATTTCTTCGTCAATCAAAGTAACTGCTAGAAATAATAATAATAATGTTTCATTATGATGTAATAAAGTTTCATTTGTTAGCAACTGTTGTGGTTTCAATGGTTTGGGTATAATTGAAGTTTTAGCTTTTACCTATTTACTCAAATGATATTTAACAACTACTGGGATTTAAATGGATTTTGTTTGATTATTGGGAAGTGTTAAATTAATGCTAAATTAGAACTAACTCTATAAGTTGTAAGGTTATTAAAAATGATAAATTACCTTTCTTTTCTACGATCTCAGGTTTTCTTTCTCCTTTCTTTGTAAATTCTAGAAATAATAATGATAATGACAACCCTACTGATCCATTTCAACTATTATAGTTTAAATGGTTCGAGTAAGATTGAGGTTTGAGGATAGATGGTTTGAATTTGTATCGATTTACTCAAACGATAGTAACAAAAGTAGTTGTTACATCTACTTGTAATTTTATTAAAAGTGATAAATTACCCTTCTTTTCTACGTTTTTAGGTTTCCTTTCTTCTTTCCTCAGAACATCTAAAAATAATACATGCATAGATTAATAAGAAGATAACCCCCAACTATTCCAGCCCCCAATTAGATAGAGTTTTACATGTATAGTAATAATCTCTAATTAGGAAGCTTAATCTATACGATAATGCATATAATAATACATTTTTTATGTGGTCATAACTCTCAAAACCGTGTATTTGGAAAATGATAAACGGGTGTTATTGTTTATAGTACTAAAATTAAGATTAATATTGTAGTCTTTCAAAAAAAATATTTCTTAGTTTACAAATTTTGGATTTTCATTTAAGAATATCGCTGGTAAGTTAGATATTAGATTGAAGAAGTCAAAGAAAAACTTGGAAAAAACAGTCAGGAAATTCNAATTTTGGATTTTCATTTAAGAATATCGCTGGGAACTTAGATATTAGATTGAAGAAGTCAAAGAAAAACTTGGAAAAAACAGTCAGGAAATTCTATGGACTGGCATAATAATAATAATACTTTATTCAAAAACGTAACCTTATGACCTTTATATCGTCTACAAAAAAAATACATAAAAAAAAATTTTTACATTATATTAATACTTTGTATTTTATCATAATATTCACTTGTTGCATAGATCTCATGTTGCAACAATTTTTCTTTCATTATTTTTTTGAATTTTTCAGTGTCCAAAGCTTTCAATAAGTTATTTTGTGACTTTGAAACTCTATGTAGTGGTATGTCACATCCATGACGTGTGTGATAGTTCTGTGTATCTGCGTTCTTGGGTACATGTTCTTTTTCTGTATGTATGTAATTCAAACATAATAGAATAAAACATGATGTATTTTAGTATTTTTAGTGCCTTGAAAATCGTTCGACAACTCTCATTTGGACCCAATTTTGCAAGTATTCTAACGGCAGTATAACAATCCCTATATTCAAAACAGGCGAAAAACTAGTCTAAAACATTACATTGGAAAACTCTTCTAAACACATCAATAAAATTGTTTACAAGTGTAATACAAAATAAGATAGAAAATCTTATTACAATTGCCGAAGAACAACAAATTTTAGAAATTTGTTATGAAACAACTAAACGAAAATTCCATTAAGTTCAACTCATCGTTTGACAGAGTGCGATTGGTAAACGTGGGGAAGTGGAATCTGACAAGATGATAGTCTCAGCCCATTTTTGTTGAAGAATCTGCTTGAGTTTGTTCAAGCATGTTTAAAAGAAAATCTTCATAATATGCTTCGCTGGCGACAACGCGATAATTGCGAACTAAGAGGTTCTGTCTAGTGTGTGAAGACCTAAATTAAGAGGTCTCCTCTTCATAAACTAAATATGCTAGTAAAAAGCCGGTAGTCAACGATACCCCCATCGAACAAGTCATGCAATTGTCTTACCTGAAACGTCAGATCAACAAAGTGTTCAAAATTTCAGGTTGTTTACCAGATACTGTTTGGTCGAACAAAGTCATGCGTAACGATAGTAAAATGTCTGCATAGATACAATAGCTATATCCACCCAATAATAACTTACGGCATTGAAATACGCGAAGACACAAACAAAACTAAAGGCATGTTAAGGATAGTATAAGTAAAGGTCTTGAAGACATCAGGAACGTTCAGATAGGACAGAATTATGAACTCTGACATCAGATACCAATGCTGGGTTCACGACATTGTAAGATAGGGAACACGCGCAAGAGATTTTGACACATTCACGTCCACAGAATGTTAGATAACAGACTGTCGAAAATTGTGGTGCTTACAAATATCCCGCCCGCAACACGACTAGCAGGCAGACCACCAAAGACATGGAAAGGTAGGTGGCAGTCAACTTCTCAGGAGATATTTCAGAGACAGACCTTATCAGGGACAACATACTTAACGGTCTAAACAGAGGGGAAGATTATAAGACCTAGAAACCGCATGTGTTTCGTCCACATTCCAATAAGTAACTAGAATTTTTCACAATTTTCATGAATCTTGTGCCAAAATTTTCATTTATGCATTCTTTGTATATTGAAGAACCATCAACATATATCTACGTGTCCTAAGAAATAATTTTGTTTTTAAAATAAGAACATAAAGTTACGTTCAAGATATCAAGAAGCATTTCCCTGCCATATATTCCAATGTTCAACATCTCAGGTTTTATGTTGTCTGCTCTAGCTGCTTTTCCATTATTACTTTTTTCCACCGCTCTCTCCACCTCTACCATTTCTACATCTGCCTAAGTTTCTAAGCCACTGTAAGTTTCGGTGTTGGCTGCTCAATGTGAATCCCTCCCTCCAACAATTATATGTAGTATTCGAAACATCTTTGTTTTACCTCCCCTTCCGACGTAAGTATTCTCCCGTTTTTGTTTATGATGAATCTCTGGTTTGAATTCTTAACTTTCCTTAAGATCTTCAGTGTACGGTACAGTAGTTTTGAGTTTCCTTTGCCTCTATTCTGTGTCCAAAACCCTCCCACGTCTGCTTTTTGGCTTCCTTGATAGTCTGTTTTGTCTCTATTCTTTTTTGTTTATACTTTTCGTAGTCTTCAATCTTGGACGTCCCCAGGTATTTTTTCCATAGTAACTTTTTTTCTTTTGTTGGCATTTTTGCTGCTTACTTTGCTGCACCTTTAGTACTGTTGGCTAATTAATGTTTCCTGAAAACAAACTTCTATTTGCATTTCAAGCTTTCGTTTTTGTATCTTCTTAATAAATAAATTATTTCTTGGATCATATCGAAATGTTAAAGTTTCTTTAATAGGTAATCTATGAAGTTTTAAAAACTCTATAACTAGTAGCCTGTTAGTTATTTATTAGATTATAATGTTTCCTACATTTGTGTAATTACAACATAATGAGATTAATTATTACCGTAGATGATTTATAGATTTCATATTAATATTATCAATGATACACTCAAATTAAAAACCCAAATTAGCAAATTAAAAAACATATATTTTTTTGAAAGACGACTAATATTAATCTTATTTTCCGTAATAATAACAATTTACCTTTTCAATTGAATTTTAGATTGCATGAACCAGACTATTATGCGAAGTACAAGCACCAAATATTAATATTGAAACAACATTTGTAAAATAGAGAACATAGATAGAAAAAATTTGTAAAAGCTCAAGCATCTTATGATGGCATTTTTTCCATGGCACAAAATTTTGTAATGGAAGCCAATATAATTATTAGCGTGGTAAATTACAATGTGTGCATATAAGGTAACTGATTTCCGGAAACCAGTGTAAATATTTGCATGGTATATCACAATGTGTGTGCATATGGCAACTAATTTCTGAACCGCATTGATTATAGGTTGTACACAAAGGTAGTAGTTTTTCTGAAAAAACGTTTATTTGAATCTCAAACGAACTGGAGACGGCAAAAGTAGTAGTAAAGATATATTATATGACGTAGTGAATATCTAAATATGACACAATAGTTCACAATTAAATTTTTGAAATGTCTTATTAAGTTTTAAGAATTTTATAATGCAATATGAAATCTAACACAGTTACTCTACTAACACGAATTTATTGTTTATTCAGTTATTGATAGAGGGTTCTAGCAACACAGATTAAATTGTGTGGATCCACGGGTACATCTATTTAATCCCTAATAAGTACTGTTTACATTTACATATACTTGTTTGACCTTGAATTCCCCATCGCCGATATAATTGCGTTTAAATATTATAACATATTTCATATCACTCCTTAATAAATAAAACTGGCACAAAATATTACAAAAATTAATTTTTGTTTCAATGCTTCTACTTGTTTAGTTTTAAACAAGATGATTTTTCTATAAAAATACTTTAAAGTACTGTTCACCCAAATCTCTATGTTGTTTTATACACCCAAAATTTTTGACATAGAACTCTGTTCATATCAATCGTTATTTTTAAAAGTTATTCCAAACGTTTATTTGTATGATTTGAAACTTTAGAAGGTTTCTCAATTTTTTTACCAACATTCAATGTTCCCATTTATCGAGAGCTTGCATATATATATGTATTCTTCTGTGGCTTTGGGGGTATCTTGGTATCTTGTGTACTGGACAGACCATTCGATCCTGGAAATTTTCTTCTATGTGATCAGACTATATTTGTAAGAACCAATTAGATTCGCAGAAATAGTAAAGAATAAGCAAGCAAAGAAGAAAAAATATTATCCTGTTTTTCTATAAAATATTATAGTATGCAGTAGGTCCAAACTTCTTTTTGAGATTTTGGTGATAATTAATGTCGCCCAGAAGGTAAATAGATTGCTTTTCAACTACTAAACTGGAATATTGAACCAGTGCTTATATTTAATGTCATAAATTATCTTAATGAAGAAAGTATATCCCTTTTTTTCTATTACCAGACGTAGTATTTTACGCTGATGATTCGATGTATTTTTAAACTGCTGTGCTTTAAAAATTTAATATTCCATCATCTATTGATAGACGTTTTAAAAGTTTTGTTAATCAATCTATGCAATATAAAAATTTAGAAAAGTTGAGTATAAATTGCTTCAATTAATTTGTTATATGCAAATATTACAAATTGATTTTCTACTCGTTTCCAAGGAATAACAATTAGTTTTTAATATAGAGAACAATTTTATGAACGTTCTGAATAAGTAATATACGGACATTTAATAATGCTGTTATGAAGCTCATATCTTGCCTTGTTTTCATCTCGTAACTAATAAATGTTCTATGAAATGATTTGTTTTAAAAACATCATTTAGTGAACAACGACGTCTCTTGGAGCTTTCAACACCTTTTTATAATTATAACAATTTTATTACCTGC